CGAGTGCCCGGGGTGACACGGTCACTGCGAGGACGGCCTGGGGCTTAAATCCGAGCCCGTCTTGGCTCTAAGTTCATTCATTCACTTGCCACCTATTTATAAGGCATCCACCACGCACATTCGGTATTCTGGACATAAACGCTTTACCTTCCAGAGCTCTGAACTGGAGGTGATTAATATTAGGATCGTAGATGCTCCGAGTCAGATATTTTCTATGTTAAAATAATTTTTGTGGGATGCAGAGTAGAAACGATTGCAGCTTTTGTTAATGTTTTCGCCTGTCTTTATGCGGTTCTTGGCAGAGTTTAATATCTCTGCCCCATAACATGAAGTCCTAAGTGAGAAGATGATAAATGGCTTTTCCCAGTGGGTTTGGGGACATTACCCTCTCAGTCCCCAGAGCACCTCGAGAGGAACGTGCCACGGGCCCTGGATTTTCGCTTCTCGGGCCTGGGGCAGCTTCCTTCCAGGTCCTCGGTGCCCCGGCCACCAGGTTTCCTGCGTTGCCTGTTTCTTCTGCCTTCTAAATGATCAGCTGCTGCCAGATTTATATTTCTCCAGCTTGGCTCTGATCACCTTACTCTCCTGCTCATGAGCAAACCTGAATTTCCTTCCCTCCTCCTGCTAAAATAATTCCAGATGGACCGAAGGCTTAAGTGTAAAGAAATGAAAACCTGCAGAATCAGTGGCTGAAAACATAGCTGAACCAATTTAAAATCTTACGGCCAGAAAATTCCTCCTAAGCAGAACGAAGACTATAAAGCCGTAAATGTGACTAAAATTGGGTAAATTGGGCCAAATAAAAATGAAAATTACTTACTGAGAGAAATGACATAAGTTTCAACAAATTACAACTGATTTCCATAATTAAGGGCCCATTCAAACCTGTAAGCAAATGATGAACCAGGAGCCCACAGAGAAGGGGCAAAGAATACGGGCAAGAATTTCCTTGATGAAATAGGAACTGAGGCCACTAAAATATGATTTACTCAAAAGTAAGAAACAGAGAAAAGTGGAGATACCATTTTTCATGCCATTGGTTTTTTTTTTTNTAAGGGCCCATTCAAACCTGTAAGCAAATGATGAACCAGGAGCCCACAGAGAAGGGGCAAAGAATACGGGCAAGAATTTCCTTGATGAAATAGGAACTGAGGCCACTAAAATATGATTTACTCAAAAGTAAGAAACAGAGAAAAGTGGAGATACCATTTTTCATGCCATCGGTTTTTTAAAAAAAAAAAGATTATAACATCTAATGTGGATGAACATGTAGAAAACAAATAAAAATATACTCTTGCTGGGAGTATACATTTGACAGATTTTGGAAGAAAGACTTAACAACGTCTCTTAGAACCAGAAAAGGCATTTATTAATTTGCCCAGCAGTCCCAATAATGTTAAAAATTTCTTTTAAGGGTAATCACTGAGGAGCCCCCCAAGATAGTCGTTCGAGGATGCTTATTGTAGGATTGTTTGTATAGCAAAAAAACAGAAGTCTTTCTTTTTTTTCTTAGCTTAATCCCTTCACCCTTCTGAAAACTGTATAATTTTATTAACCAGTGTCGCCCCAGTAAATTCAGTTAAAAAATGGGAGTGATGTGAATGCCTCCTTTTGGGTGACCAGTGACATAAATTAAGACACACTAACACAATGGTAACTTACGCAGTTGTTTCATAAAAACCAAAAACCGGTGAACCCGTATTGCTGATGTGAGCAGAACTCCAAGGTCCTTTGATTGTGAGTGAAAACATGAAGTCCAGAGCATATCATATGATTGCATTAGAATTAAAAACAATTAGTGTGTTTACACCCAAGAAACTGGTCCATTACAGGAATGGGAGCAAGGGAAGCTTAAGGTTTTGCTTTTTATTTAATTTCTTTCAGAGTCGTGTGCATGTCTTATTTTTGTTAAAATATTAAAAACGAAGAGATCAGGAAGAAACAAAACGGCCCTGCCCGTATCTCTTCCAGAACCAACACTGAGCTCCCTGTGTGGTTCTTTCAGGGCGCTCCGGCCTCTGCCTCAAATCTGCCTTTGCAACTCCAGTTCTTACTCTATTATCCGTATTAATTTTTGGATACATCGAAATGCTTGCCCGGCTCTAGACGAATCTTGGCGTTTTGGTCTCGGTGTTGTGCCCCTTTGGTGCCAACCCCTCCAGCTCAGACCACCTCAGTCTTTCTCTGCATTTCAGATTCTCCCAGTCTCATCTCCCGTCCCCCCAGCCCCCCTCTCCCAGCTGGTCTGATGTCCCCCGGCCGTGAACTAGCTGAACTTCCAAGTTCGGTTCTGTTTGGACATTAATTTTCCTCTGCACCCCCATAGTGCTGGGCACCGAGCCATACTGTCACCTGGACCAGCTCGTGGCACCTGAGCAGTGCCAGCGGGCCTGCCAGGTGCGGAGTCCAGGGAGACGTGACGGGCCGTGGTGTCACTGAACAGGAGCAGGAGTGAGCACTGTCACATGTGTTGTCAGGGGTGTCAGTTGGTGGGACCTTTCTGGAGGATTGGTGAGTGGCTGTTAGTCTGTCTGAGCCTGCGCAGAACCACAGTGTATCTGGGATGGAGCCGGGAACTGAAGGCCTTGATGGTGTGAATCTGAGGTGGTGCCACCCCCGGGGGCCCACACGGCAGGATCGGTGGCAGCCCCAGGACGCAGGCACCGTCCCCAGCCTCGTAGCATCCTTTCCTACCCAAAGCGCCGCCCGGCCTGCTTCTGCCAAAGAGCCCCGTTGTTCCCGGAGCCCCCAGCCACGGAGGGTCAAGTCCACCCATTCAGGTGTCATCTCGTCATTGGTATAATCTGGGCGCCGGGCTTCTGAGCGGCTGCCCCCTTTTCAGAGGCTGCCTAGTTGAGATGTCACATCCCCGACAGGGGGGCACTCAGGCTGCACCCGCGCCCCCTCCCCCGGGCGCCCTAACAATGACCGCCGCGCCGACGGGACACCCTCCTCCTTCCTTGTCGGGCTCTGTGAAACCCCGGCCCCCTTTCCGCTGGATCGCGGACGTTCATATTTTCTTTCATGCAACTGCCGCCGGTCACCCGTGAAACGGTGGGGACATTGTGGAGCTGTCAGGATGCCTGGGGATTACCCGGCATGCTCCGCCTGTGAGAAAGTCACACGCCGGGCCGCTTTGGAGACGTTCACTTGCAGGGGACGCTGACAGGCATGACGCTCTGATCCCAGAGTGGCAATTTCATTTAATTAAGGGCCTCTTTTTATTACAGATTTCCCTCCACTTTTTCTTTTATGTTTATATATCTATCTATCAGAATGATGGGTAACGCCTGGCTTGCTGGGGGGTGCGCGCCTGTGCGCGCGGATGGCTCACTCGGTGGTGACGGTCCCACCGAGTGGCCGGGGCTGGGCCCATTTTTGCAGCCCGCTCAGACCCACGTGTGTGTGTCCAAGTTGAACCCAGAGACGGCTGGGATCCTGCAAACGGGGGGCTTGCATACGTGTGCGGGTATCTTCGTGGGCTAATTTCTTTATTTTGAAGTTAGCCCCTTGCAGTCCTGGACGACTAACATCAGAATCCGACCTGTGCTCAGCTATGGGGACTTGCAAACAACACACACACACACACACACACACACACACACACACACACACACACACACACACATATAATATCTAGCTCTTCANCACACACACACACACACACACACACACACACACATATATAATATCTAGCTCTTCGGGGTTGTGGCTTTCGGCGAAAATAGTTGGGGGATGCATTGCTGTCTCTTTTAGTAATTTTTACCTCTGCAGCTACATGGAGATGTAAAAAGGTGCTAAGAAAGATTGGAGCGATTAATGCTGGGCATTCACCATTCGGGCGCTGGTGACAGAAGAGCCTTGTTAATTTTTTATCTGACACCCTTAGGCGGTTTTGGCCTGATGTTAACGCCGGGGTTTCCACCCAGCGCACACGGGGGCCTGTGCTGGGCACTGTGCGAGGCACCTGGGGGTAAATCGCTGGTCTTCGTGCATTTATTCCTAATTCTGTGATTCACGATTAATTATGATACCACAGCTCCCCAAACTGGACTTTTTTCTTTCTTCGGAGCAATACCAGCTGGCTGTCCGCCTGTGCCTCCTTTATTCACAGCTCACTAGGTCTTAACGCACGTGGGTCCCAGTCACTAGTATGTGTCCCAGGTGCGATGCCCCCTCGAGTGCATGTGACACACATGTGCAGCACACAGTCCGTGTGTCATGTGTGCAGGCCTTTCCCCCCCTCTCGATTGATCTGAAAATATGGGGGAGGGTCCGTCATCGGCTCTTTTTTCTGCTTGGGACAGAGAGGCTGGAGGCACCTTATTAATTTCTTTTGGCGCCCATTTCAAAGCGCCCCCGAGGAGCCTGCGGGTCAGGGGGTCCCCGAGGCCAGCGAGGGCCCGGCTGGCGTGGCGCTCCCCGCGCGCTGCAGGTGCGGAGGCCGCGAAGAATGGCAACTTTGTCCCTTTAATCCCCCCCTTTCCAGTCTCGCCCCGTCTTTTGGTTGCAGAGATTGATTGATTTATTACGATTATATTCTGAAGCGCGGGTGCTGGCGAGTCGGCCGTCTGGCCGAGCGCTTGGAAACGGCTCCCCTCCCTTGTCACTGCCTCGCTGTCATTCTTACGAGGGGCGGGCACCTCCCCAGGACTCCTGCCACCGCTGGGTTTTATTGCGTGGGTTTTACTGCGTGCATTTTTGCGGGTGGGCTCGTGGTGACATGCCCACAGTGAAACAAAACAGAAGCCCAAGGAGCCCCTTATAGCCCGCCACCCAAGGCGAAGAAGAACCGGTCATTCGCCCCCGATCGTTTCATGTGTCTCTTGTCCCCACCTCCGGGGCCTGCGGTCCCTGCCCAGGGACAGAGGTGTTCTGGGTGCCCCCGATGAGACGCTCTGGGCCCGGAGGCTGTGGAAAGAATCTTGACTTTAAGGACAGATCCTGGGCTGCACGTGTATTTGAAAAATCAGTGTCGGTCTCTCTCTCTCTCTCTAAAGGCACCAGCGACCCCTACGTGAAGTTTAAGCTGAACGGGAAGACGCTGTACAAAAGTAAAGTCATATATAAGAACCTGAACCCCGTCTGGGATGAGATCGTGGTCCTGCCCATACAAAGCCTGGACCAAAAGCTCCGCGTGAAGGTAACTCACAGAAGCCTGTCAGGCCTGCCCTTTTATAAAAACGCTGATTTCTGAGCAATCTGTGCCCTCTAGAGAGTGACCCTCCCCAGATGAGCTCCCTTGCTGTCCTTAAGCTCTGGGTTAAAAATATTAGCATGGAGAGGGTCGTTCGTATGCTTTGGGGACACTGTATATTTCTTTCAGATCAATGAGAGACACTCTAGAGAAACTCGGAGTGAAAGCAGTGTCTCCGTGGATGGCATCTGAGCTTACTGAATGTGGAAGAATTATCACTGCCTGTTCGGTAGCGACGGGCTCTCAACCCTCCCTCATTAGGAATAACTTTATACTTAATAGAGTTGTGGGCGACTGGCTGTAAGCATTAATTGCTCTAACATCTGGGTTAAAACTGCATGAGTTGAGTGCAGGATGAGATTGCTATAGGATATTTAGCAGATTTCTACTTCATTGGCAGACCTGCCCACCGTGGAAAATACTAAATTGTAACGAGAGACCGTTGAAACCACTGCGAGTAGCCCATTGTGCGTCCCAGGGCCTATGGATTCGGCCTGAGATGTATTTTTGCCGCTGTTTGTAATGGGCAAGTGAGGAGTAAGCTGAATTCCTCTTGAACTGCGCTGTGCGAATTATTTTTAGATCTAGGAGACTGAATGCAGATGTAGAAGCCTGTTGCATTTATTAATGATTTGCCAAACTCGGTTGACTGCATTAATGGGTGTCACTGGCCCTCTTTTAAGGTATATGATCGGGATTTAACCACGTCTGACTTCATGGGCTCTGCATTTGTCATTCTCAGTGATCTTGAACTTAACAGGTATTGTATTTTTTACCTTCTTAATAGTTATTGATGAGCTTTAGAGGGAACTCAAGATAATGTTCGCTGGCATGTGTTTAGATCATATCACAAAAAAAAAATCAGAACAAGTGAAAGAGTGCTTAACTGTGATATTTTAATGATTGTTGGTTTTTACCTCCCAAGTGTGCTTGTCCGATATCAAACCCTCCGTAATGTTTTCTAAAGTGTGCATTGGATTTTGCACTCTCATTTGTTAATATTCAGTTTTCTGTTAACCTCCCTAACTTGACATTAAAACAAGTATTTCAATTTTTATTTTTATTTTTTTTAAGTATTTCAATTTTATTTGGGGGAGTAGGTGAGAAGAATCGGTTAACCAACTGTTGAATTAGGCAATGCCAAGCAGTTTCTCTACCCTGAAGCTGGGTGCTTCATTTTCAGAATTGGGTGCTTTTTAAACTTGTATCTCACCCTTAGAGTTAGGGGAATTTTCCCATAAGCTTCTGATAAATTATAAGGTTGCTCAGTGCTGCCAGTAAGTGCTAACGTTATTTGTTGTTGTTTTGCTTGTAGAACGACTGAACATATTTTAAAACTAGAAGATCCGAACAGTTTAGAAGATGACATGGGAGTGATTGTGTTAAATCTGAACCTCGTAGTAAAACAGGGTGATTTCAAGAGACATGTAAGTGCCACTGTTGTGTTCTTTCTGAAATCCTCCGTTGCAGTTGCCCTTTCACTACTGGGCTACCAAATGGCTGATCTTTCTGTAATTGTTTTGCGGGGGAAACAAATAATTTTATAGAGACTTAAAGAACCTATCTGTGGTTATATATGTCTTCTCTTTTAAATCTCTGGAAAGAAATTCAGTTAAGCATTCCCTCTTTTTGGGCCAGGGAGATGGAGAGTGCTGCTGTGACTAAAATGCATACATGCTGCTTATGGTTTGCTTTTAGCAGATAATTTGAAATATACCTTTACTAAGTATTAAGGTTTTTATTTACAGTCTTCTTAGGTACGAGATGACTTGGACATTGTTCAGTTATGAAAAGCGGTTTCCAGGATTTAATTATTGCATCGTACGTTATTAAGGCAGCCAAGTATATATTAGAAGCATGTTAGCCCCTTCTTTCTTTCTTTCAGCTCCCAAGTTTTCTCCTGAGAGTGCTTTTGGGAAGATGCAGATTTTAACGTTCTCTAGTCCATTATGTAGAAATTTCTAGTTAATGCACAACCTAGTGATTCCTTTAACATCACCAAAGCCTTGGGTTGTGTGGTGATATGATTGGGATTCTGTTATTTTCGACAAATAAGTGCATGCAAGTACTAATCTTATTTGACATTCAAAGAATATAATTAGACTCCAAGAATTAAAGTCAGGACAAAAGGCATCTTTGGTTGTAACTTCTTTGAAAGGCATTTTTAAAGCCAGCTAGAACACCTCCTTGATAAAGGACTCGGATGTACTCAAGTTGGGCATGTTTAGAATCTGCCATGAAACTCTGAAGCCTGTTTATAAATTAGGCTCCGATAATGCTTCAGGAATTGAGTCACTGGGGTCAATGAGGAGAATATTCCTCATTCTGACATCATCTTTGCTTGTAGTTGTAATTTACTTTCCTGATGAAAATCATGACTGATTTACTGGTGAGCTCAGAAAATGGCTTGGAGAAGTAGGAAAACTGCAGTGACTTTGCAAATGCCAGAGGGGCAGCTAAATAGTTGCTATTTTTAATTCAAAAATCTTACGAGTACTTACCTGACAATAACTGGATAAAACCCCTTCATCATTTTTTAGAAAAGTGTCAGTGTTAAAACTCGAGGCCTCTAAAAAGCTGATATTTTGATGTTGACGTGTCTTCGATTGCTGTTGAAAATAAATTTATTTTTCTGTCGAACATAATGAAGAAGGGATTTCCTGTGGCTTTTCTTAGTCTGGACAGTTTTGCTCACTGGAGTCATTGTCACCGTGAGCAGTAGGTGACCAGTTACTTGAGCTGGATGCCAGGTTAAAATAACACGCAATGTAAGTAAGTGTCATTTGCCACATGGTCGAGCAATTGCTCGCTTATATGTTCTAATAATTTCTTACATATTCAAGTGGGCTTTGCAAAGTTGGCTAATTTCCCCATGAAAATACTCACATGTTTAAGCTACATCATAGCTGCATATTTATCCCCTTGTGTGTTTTTCTGGGATGTATTAAATTATGTTGAGCAGTAATAACGACACTTAAAACATACTGAAATATTGCCAGAATTTGGAGTCTTAAACGACCTTAGTTAAAAATGTATTTCAAATTGCAGAGAAATATATTCGATGCAGCTTGAGTTTGTTTTTGTAAAACGCCCCAAGGGATATCGTTTCAGATCCCGAAAGGGGCCGCATTTGTCACCTTACTTGGTTGGCTCTCCTGTCCTTTGAGTCCCCACCTCCCCTTCGTGAGAGATTTTCTAGCTGGATATGCGCTTTCTCACCTACTTGTCTCCCTTTCTGTGCTCTTTGCTCGCCTGGCAGAGGTCTACATATTAGCTCTACACATTAAACAGACAGTCATAGTGATTTCCCATTAATAGCCATATCCATTTTATTTATCTTTTGTGATTATTATAAAAATCAAAAGAATTATATGGCAAAAGGCCCTAGATAGCCTTGTATTCCTATTAGACAGCAGTTAATCTTGGTGTTTGTTTTGGGTTGAAATACTCCTCAACACGTTATTGGGAAAATCAAGAACTGACTTTAGGACTCGGGTTCTAGTATCTACAACTCCGTGTCACGTGCTGAATGTTGAACTCACAGTTTCACCAGGAGAAGTGTTTTTAATGAATAATAATTTCAAGTCGTTACTGCATCAACATTTCCATTCGCTGGCCACTGGAATGTATGTGGATCTCCCCCAAAGAATATTTATTTTCTGGTTTCTAATTTACTGGGAGATGCATTGACAGAGGGGTAGGTCATTTGCCTAAAGGTATTTTTGTCCTTAAACATAATAGTCAGCTTGGGCTGCTCGATTAGATTCATAATTGAGTTGTAATCTTCCAGATTTATCCGAGTTTGAACGTCCAGTTAGCTGGTTAACCAGCCAGAGTAGAGCTTCAAGTCCTGGACGGTGATGGGAGTAATGAGAGGATTTTGCCACGAGAGAATCTGAATTGTCTACGAAATTCAGCAGCTTTCCCATGACATATGGGAGGTCAGAAGAGAGCCGTGGTGAAGGGACTTGCTGTTCAGAAAATTTTTTCTTCCCTCCCTCAGAGCTGTATTAGCCTATTTTTCTTAATTGCACAGGAATGGCTCGGAGAGTTCTGTGTCTTATTATTTTGAAAATTGAGACTTAATCAGTCCAGGTAAATGGAATTATTTTTCTAACATCTAAAACCTAAACGTGAGCTAAAGAAAATGGTGTAACAACCACAGAAATGCGATTTTTCCTTGTGTTTCTATGTTTTGAACCCTTTTTTTGCTCAGTTGTGTTTTCTCTGTAACCTCAGAGAAAGGCTGGGTGTCTGTCGTTTGAATGTTGTCTGCACCGTCTAAAAATATAATAATATTTTCGTATTGTTAACGATTCTTTTCCTCTCTTTCCTTTGGCCATTTTTTTTACTGTTCAATGGATGCAATCCTCAGCGTTGGTCAAATCGGAAGCGCTTAAGTGCCAGCAAGGTAAATACCTCTGTTTTTTGTGTTTTTCTTTAAATTTACATCATTTGGATAAAAGTTCATCTTCGTTACAAACACAATGTATATGTAATTAATACAACCGACTCTTGCATGAAACAGTGTTCTTTCCCTCTTACTGCTGTTATGAATAAGGGCATGGCCTCCCTTTTAAAATTTCATTTAATAAGGGGCCCAGCCAGATGTTTGGACTCACATCTGCTCTGGTGGTGACATTTTATAGGTACCAGCCACGTTACAATGTTTCGCTTCGTTGGGCTTCAGATTATTTGCAGTGTAGTTCAGTGAGGTGGGGTCTTTTAGGAAGTTATTTACCATTAGATAGAAATTAGCTTTGGTGTTATAGGGACAGTGAAAAGATGAACCGAAAGGATTTTATGGGGTATTTTATAACTGTGTTTCAGATCTTCTGAAAAAACCATTTATTCCTTTTTATTTGGGTGCGTTCCTTTAGATATTTCTTCGTGAAGCACCAGTGATTTTTCACGTTGTTAGCATCTCCTTAATCAATTATATACCCCGCCGTCCTGTGTGTAAAAAGTGCGGGTACCACTGTAGAAACGCATTATGAACGAGCAGGTTATTAAATTAGCACGTCGTAACTTCAGCCACAAAATGTCTAAAGTGGTGTAAAAAGAAACCAACAGAACATTTTAAAAAATTATAACTTCATTTAGCGGCTCGGCTGCTTTGTTAAAGAGAAATCCCCGACGTGCCGGGGGCGGTGGTTTATGTGCTCATGGGGAGGGGGGGGTGCAACAATCTCTGTGCGCGTTTATTTACACAAAACCCGTGGGCAGGTAGATGCCGGCTCTCGGCTCTGATTTCTGACCTCACCGTGCTTCAGCTGCTTGCTTCTCTATAAAATAAGAATGAAACAAAGATTTTGTGAATTTGGGAGAGTGTGTGTGTGAAAGAGAGAGAGGGAGGGGGGGGAGGGAGAGAGACTTGTAGCCCGAGGAGCCCATCATTTAGGAAGACAGGCAAACTTTAGAAACCTTGCCTTTGGAAATTCAAAGGACCCCAAGTCCCAACTCTTCCTAAAATCTCTCTCCTTTGCATCTTGAACACTTGAAAAATAACTCTGAGAAGGTGTTTTGCTCCGGTTCACTTGGTTTCCCAGACCCTGGCTCCTTTTCGAAAATGAAGAGACAGTAAATTCTGTGCAGCCGGCTCAGAAATCCCTCCAACTTGGGTCTTGTTCCTTTTATAGTCACTAGAGGGTAGAAGAGCATCGTCTGTGGCCACCGAGGGGCGCCCAGCTCCCAGGCTCCCGCATTAGGAGCTTCTGGAGCCACCGGAGGCCCGCAGGCCTCAGGCCTGACAAAGCAGTATTTTCTGGTTTATAGATCCTCCTGCCGCACTAAAACACTGGGCCTGTACATCAATAACCAGCTTTAGTTAGGGAGCCCTGGCCTGTGGAAGAGCGCTGGCAGTTTGTGGAAGAACATAAAGGCTGGAGAGAAAAATTGTGAGCTTGGGGAATATTGTAGCCGAGGGAGGGCAGGGGAGGTGATGGGGTAACGGCCGGAGGGATGGAGGGAGAGGGAAAAAATGTTGACGGCCTGGGTAAAGATATCAAAAATATGGGAGGAACAGAGGGGCCCGGAGAGCAGTATTTATATCCGTGCTGCAGAGTGTGTCTTCCCGGTGAGCTATTGTCTTCCCCTCCACCCCCCTACCATGGTAGTTTCTAGAATTTTGACTTAAGTGCACTGAGCTCAGGGACACAAGAAATGCCCAAACCTTGTACCTGTGTGGAATAGAAGCTCAGATGACTAGAGCTCATTGAAAACTATTTACGAGCTTACACGAGAGATGCAGTTTATATATTGGTGCAGTTGGGCTCGGTGCCTCTTTGCTACTTAGAGTTGGCTCCTGATTTGGCTCATGGAAATGAGTCACCTGGAAAACCCGGAGGTGCTGCGATTAACCCTCTGGGCGAGTTGTTAAAATACCCCGATCGACCGATCTTGGTATTTTTGAGCTACCTGTAAGCTGCTCTTTTAGGATTTCCATGTTCTATTTAAAAACCAGGTAGCAGGAGTTTGGCATAAGGAAGATTCTTCTTAGCTCTGAGTATCTAAAAATTTACTAATTCCGAGTGTCCTGTCACCCAGCAAGTGTCGACTTTTGCACCTCCACCTTAGTATTTTTATAATAACTTTATTTAGGTAATTGCTTCTTACATCCACAAGTTTATACATTAGCATCATCCAAAGGAGCCCAGAATGGCCAGATCTTTCTAGAGTCTCTTCTAAAATGTTTCCTTACTACGCTGACCTTGATTTTCATATGTTAAATAGAGAGGTTGCCTTCATATATTTATTTAGGTTCATCCAGAGCCTTTGCTTATCTTGTGATGAGCATTTTAAAATGAGAACTGAGAATCTGAGTCAATAGGGCCTGCACCAGATGACTAGCTCTTTTTGGATATTTACTATGTATAATCTTGGCGGTGAGTAGCTCTGTTTCTGAACCTTACTTCTGTCTGTGTAATGCATGGAACAGTTAAAAGATAAAAAATTAACAGCACTTACTTCTATAACATCAAAGAGCCTAACTGGAAAGAATGCAGTGATAAAAAATGGAAGTGAAGAATTCCTGAGTGTATTCAGAAGTCTGCACACACGCGCACACACACACACACCTGCTCTTGAGTCTGCACAGGTGTGACACCTGAGCACTGTGCCCCTTGAGTTATGGATCTCCCCTCCTTTAGATGAGTTCGCCCAGAGATAAGTGTATTTTCTTGCACAGCCCCTCTTTTGACCCACTGTCTTATGCAGTCATATGTCAGCCATCAGGGTGGGAGCCGCGATGTACCTCAGGCGAGAGACACGTCGCATGCTGGTGTAACGTTTTTTTTCTGCATGAAATCAGTTGACTGGTGGTGCCAGTTTTCGGCCTCTTTGGCTTCGTAGCCTTTTATCTCTGCTCCTCTGTTATTTCGGAGGCTGATCCCTGCAAGACAGGTTGTCAAGGTCCCCTGCCAGCTGGCCTCCAGCTGGCTGCCCGCAGTGAGAGGAACTGGGAGGGTGCTGGGGGACAGGAGGGGGAGAAGCTGGGTGTGTCCGCATTTTGCATCTTCCCTGAGCCAGGCCAGCTGCTTTTTGGCTTCTACCAGGTGACCCTGACCCCGGTGTTTACTCTTTTTGTCTCTGTGGCCCGGGGTCACCGAATGTCAGCTTGGGGGCCGAATCCAGCCCTGTGTCTTTCCCCAGATTGAAGCTGTGCTGGACACAGCTGCACGAGTGGGTCAGTGTGGGGTCTTTGGGACGGACACCCCGTGGCCTACAAGCCTCAGTGCTGCCTCTCCAGACCCTTGCAGGGGGAGGCCGCCCCCCCCTGCCCAGCCTGAGTCTCACACGCCTCCCACTGCTCCCCTTAGTCGTCCCAGTGCCCTGTTCGGTTTCTCAGCAGCTCCTTTCTCTGGGAAGACAGCTCTTTGCAGCTCTGTATTGTGTGTCCTCTGTCTTCAATCCTGGGGCTGATTTTCTTTTCCGGTTGGATTCCAAGACATTCCTTCCCTGCCTCTTTTGCACTTTTCCACTTTCTGCTTCATTCCTTTGGCTCTGCCTGTCCCTCTGCTTCTCCTGGCATCTGGGCGACAGGGCCGCCCATCACCTCCCAGGAGGGTGCGGTTGGCAGAATTGCTGGGCTTAGGTTGGCCTGAACCCCGACGGCTGTCCTGCTGCATGGGCCAGAGCCTCCTTTCTCTGCCCGTTTTTCCACTTGGGCTTTTTAAAATCTGCCGTCCTCAGACTCACTCATCACACAGTCACCCCCAGGGCAGGGTGCTGGGGGGGTTCTTGTGAATGCCTTGTAGATCCTGCCCTCTTACGATGGGGCTGTGGGGCACCTCCTGTCTGTTCTACCCCTCTGATAGGCTCCTGTCCCCCAGTGACTGAGTCTGGGGGTTAGCTGCCTGGCCAGAGGGGTTAAATCTGGGAAGCCTGGGCAGATTATCGTGGGGTTACAAACGGTCATGATTCCGTCACGCAGGCTGACAGTGTCAGCTTCCCCCCTGAACACGTGGCCGAGACTGGCGAGCTCGCTGCGTGTGAGCACTTTGCAGGAGGCGTGTTCAGGGGATTCCTGCTTTGCTAAGGGCTTGGCCTCTGGCGCCTGACACACGTGGTTTTTAACATACTTAGCTCCTGGAAGGTATCTTGCCACGAAGCTAGTTTAGTGTTGGCCCTGGGGGGTGGTGGGGGTGGAATTTAATAGAGGACAGTCAGAGAATTTGGAGGGAACGCCCTGTCCCGCACCTCTTTGCCCAATGGAACTCACGTCCCTGTCTCTGTGGAGGCGCAGGGAGCAGGTCAAGCAAGAGCCTTTGCAAGACGTGGGGTCCTTCAAGGGATTAATGCGAGGGCGTGGTGCCTGCAACCCTTTCCCAGTGAAGAGAGTGCTTTCTGTTTGCTCGTTTCGCTCTTCTTTCATTGCCACACCCCCCCAACTCGTTCCCCACCCATAGTAGCCCCCTTTTTCTTTGTATTTTCTGGGATTGGAGCATTGCATGCGTGTATAACAGAACAGCCATGTACAGCTCTGCATCTCTGTACCTGCTTACCTGTCTCTCTTCCCATATATCCAAGCTCCCTAATTTATTTCTGTGTCTGCATGTTACTCTTTACTGCCTGTTTCTTTATATATCTAATCTATCTAATTTATTTGTGTGTCTCTAAGTCTGTCTGTATATCTGTCTATCCATCCACCCATCTATCTATCTACCTACCTACCTACCTGTCTATAAGTAGCACTGCACAGGCCACCGCTGAATATCTTAACCCCAGTGGACAGAGCCCTGCCTTCCTGAACTTTTCATCAAATCTCTTCTCTCAAGTTCAGCCTCAAGTTCAGCCAGAGACTTCTCGCTGACCATGTCCTCTAAGGGCAGGACTGCTGTCCTGGGCATTCAGAGATGAATGAAATCTGGTCGTCCTGGCTCACGAGCTACTAGGAGAGGTGCGGGTGGAGAA